CCTCAGAGGAATGCTTCAGAATTGAAGCCGGGGAAATTTCCGTTTCCGCTCGTTTCAGACAATCTGTTTTACATTATCAGCTCTCCAGATAATTGACAATTTCTTTTTCACTTGGAAACGTTTTCCATTTGAATCTGAGAAACAATGAGAACAAAATGGGCTTTAATGTATCTGTTTCCAATAGGAAATTTTCTAGATAACTACCGAGTTCATTTTTATGTCAGAACGAAATTGCCGGACGTATTTCTTGTATTGAATAAATAAAACACAATTTTCTCCCATTTTCGTCATGAAATATTCATATTGTCGATTTCACGAAATTTCGTCAATGAAAATTAACGGAGGGCGTAAATTGAATTATTCCATGAAAAAATTATGGAAATCAGAAAAATTCTGAAGAAAAAATTCCATAGAAAAACTTAGCGATTTCGCTAGAAAATTCTATTGAAATTCTCTAGAAATACTATTGGGATTCTATTCACATTCTAGAGAATCCTCGTTAAAATTCTATTTGTTTTTTCCGCTGATTCTATGAGATATTTGATAGGAGGAAAAAGTTAAGATTTCAGTTTTTCTATAGAAATATTCTCTTGGAATTTTTTCGTTAAGAATACTTGGGCATGAATTTTCCAAGTTTTTTTTACTCGGATCCTATAATGCAAAAGAAAACAAAATACAGTGGAGAAAACTTGGAAAATCCGTCCCCAATAATTTTAATTGAAAAAATCTCAAGAGAAAAATTCAAACAGAAATATCGAAATTCATTGACTTTTTCTTATCAAATATCTAATACAATCTGCGCAAAAAACAATTAGAATTTTAACGAGAATTCCCGAGAATTTTAATAGAATCCTCATAGAATTTCTAGAGAATTTCAATAGAATTTTCTAGCGAATTCGCTAAAGTTTTCTAGTTAATTTTTTCACATGTGCATCTATAACGTAATCAATTAATAATCGACTCAATTGTTAAAATATCTTCTACATAAACAGCATCCTGTAACTGCCCTAGTGCTGCAACATTTACGTAAAAATAAAAGCGCAAATTCAATGAGAAACGCACTAAAAATCTCATAAAACAAACTCCACGAATTCGCTTTGTCAGGCGAATTAAACAATTCATCTCTCAACAAATCACGTCTAGATGTCTCAGCAGGGCGTAAAGAAAGTACCGTTCAAGGTCGACACGATTCAGCCAGTCGATACACCCGTAACTTGTTGTCTCTTTGATAAAACCCCGTTATATTTGTTCCATTTATCAAAATCGTCACTACAAATGCCGATAAAAATTCGCTAATGCTATGTCTACCCCGTTAAAAATTGTTGTCTGAAATTTCCGGTACACTTTATGGAAATTTTTATCGAATTTAATTACCACTGAAATTTCACGGAATTTTATCGACAGTGCCTATTCACGAGCTCCACGGTAACTTTTACCCTGGATATCTGGGAGATCGTGTAATTTCAACTTCTACTTCTCAAATTAAATCTAGACAATAAACTAGACACATCGAATCAATTGATAAGTGATGCGCAGACAGGCTAGTAAATAATTTTCTCAAAATATTAATTCGTTGAATACGAATATCAGTCTAGATTAACGTAAGAGATGTATCGAACTGTAGTTCCTCCTCCGAAACAGACACATTTATGTAAACTACCTAATCGAGTCGCTGCCGATTACTGAGTTGACCATTTAAAGACAAAAATACTTCTATTTAGTAAATATGTTGAAACAGTGAAATTTGGAGTCAAGTGGACCTGAAAATGGAAAAATACGAGGGATAAAACGCCTTCCTGATATTTCTGGAATGCAATTCTTCTAGGGGAGCTCAAATTCGATTGAAGGTGATTTTGATAAGGATTTTTTATTTATTTATTGTATTAACCTACAGTGGGTTATTTAATTCATTAAGATGTACGAAAGTTATAAAGGAAAATAGTAGTTGCTGCGGTAACATATTTGGTACAAATTTGTTTCAGGTCTTTCGCTGTGGACGCTAATACTTAGTTATCTTAAATTCTGATTTTACATTTTTTAATGAACTGGTGTGTAATCTTGAGAGGTTCGAGATCTTTTGCCACCAGAAATGCGGATATGTGACCGTAAATCCACGCGAAAATTTCTCGTAATTTCGCGTAAATTTTACCGTGGAGCGTGTGAATGCACCCTGTCAATTTTATCATTAAAAATTGTGAATTTCGTGGAAAAATCAAAGGGAACTGTAAATTTCAGTTCCATTTTTCCCTGAAAATAAATTGAAAACCAGAAAATTCCGGTAAATATATTCTTGAATTTTGAGGACTGACACTGAATGCGATTTAGGGGGAAAAAATTCAGGAAAGTCAAATAAATTAAGAAATTCTCGTCTTTCACTGAATTTTACAGAATTTTCCGTGAAACCTAAAATTTCATGATTTTTTCCCCCTAAATCGCATTCAGTGTCACTGTCCTGAAAAATAGTAGTCAACTGTCCATGAAATTTCGTTTTCTTCGAACAGTATAACGAATTCTAGCGCTGCAAAAAACCAGCAAGGCCACCCCTCAATCCCTCCACCATCTCATCAATACGAATTCTCCTGAAACCCTCTAACAATCAATCCCCAATCCTTTCTCGAAACACATCATTAACATTCCATACGATACAACAATCAGAATAAACGACGAAATAGACAAATTATGAAGCTGAAACTAGCGAAAGATTCGACAGCAGATTTGTCTTAGGCGAATCTACGGGTGTACAAATGTTTTTAAGGATGTATTCGGGGAGAGTGGGGTAAAATGGACGCTTTAGACTTTTGTTTTAATTACTCATAACTGAGAAACAAATTTATCACTTGAGCTCAGTTTAGGCTTATCACAAAGGGAAAGAATTGTTCTTTGCAATGAAAAAAAAATTCTTGAATTTTATCAACATTTCAACCCGTCATTAACATTTTAAAAAAAGTCAAGTGTCCATTTTACCCCAACCTCCCCTACAACCTTTTCGCCAAAATTCACGTTTTTTGAACTTTTCTTCTAAATTGTTGATCGAATTGACGTGAAAAAATATACAGTTTTTTGCGTTTTATCATTACTTAACGACTCACGAAATTTCATTACCGTGCAATCATTTTCCTACTTTTTTTCTAAAACTTTTCGGAAATTCACAAAACTTTAGAAAAAACGTAGGAAAATGATTGCACTATCTACCATGAAACTTCGTGAGTCAGTCAATAATGATAAAATGCAAAAACGGTATATTATTTCGCGTCAATCCGATCAATAATTTGTCAGAAAAATGAAAAAAACGTGGATTTTGGCCAAAAGGGTGTAGTACATCCTTAAGTAGGGGAGGTTGGGGTAAAATGGACACTTTTGACTTTTTAAAAAATCTTAATGACGGCTTGAAATGTTGATAAAATGTCATAATTTTTTTTTCATTGCAAAGAACAATTCTTTTCCTTTGTAATGAGCCTAAACTGAGCTCAATTGATAAATTTATTTCTGAGTTATGAGTAATTAAAACAAAAGTCTAAAGTGTCCATTTTACCCCACTCGCCCTCAATGCACAAAATCTTTCGCACTTGAAAAACATTTGTTCATATGATTATTAGACTCTCCTACACTTAAATATCCCCTAAATTGAATTTTCCGCTGACGAATATTCTGCTAGTTTCAGGTTCACAGACAAATTCTAAGTTATGAGAGTCACGAGCAGATTCAACTCACCAGCTGTACGTATCATGCGCTGGTAATAACAGGTGACGTGCGGGATTGAGTGTAGGAGTGAATTCGCAGGTAAGTGACACAATTAGAATAAAACACTCGTCCTCGGAGGATTTATGAAACTGTAACTCCCAAACTCACGAATTCGTTTCGTACGACTGTCTATTACGACACTTACAAATGGAGCCTTTTTTTAGTTTGGAAAAAATTCAACTCAAAAAAATTAATAAGCAAATTTACTCAAACTTGTTCAAAATATCCGGCGATAATAGAGACAAATACATTGATTGGGAATCGATAACACTCACAGAACGTGTAAAGTTCAACGTTTAAACGCTGAAACAGTTCACCATAAAATCTTAAAAATGAATCATCCTTTTCTCCACTTTTTCACACTGAAATTGTTACTAAATGCTCAAGTGCACCGAACCGAGGTATTTCGTGTACTATTTAGCAAGCAGAGGAGTATTGTCCAGGAGGCGAAATCCCTGGCATACACCGTAACAAAACGAGGAATGAACCAACGGTGTTTTTTAAGGAACCGAGTGGGGATAAAAGAGTAGTGGTGGCAATCCCAATTCTTTTCCCATTCCCCTCAAGTATTTCCCCCCCATTTAACCCCGCAAAGAACCGAATCCTCTTCACCAAAAGGTCGATAGATTTCGTTGAAAATGAATTTGTCAACATACTTTTGGGAGAATATTCTACTTACATTTCAGGTTCTTCCACGTTACGCGATTTATTTGCCGCTTTTTTACGCTCTCGGAACACTTGACGAGTTGACACACCTGACAGTGACAGTACAGAACTATTCGAATTGTGGGTGAATTTTTGATGATTGTTTCAACGACTATTTGTTATGATTTGGGAGGTTCAATGTCGAGGGTGTGACCACGACGTTATTATTTTCCAACCACTCACACGGTTATCCGTCACTGAAATCCGTCAAACGTGGGAAACAAGTCGGCCATCTTGATAAAACTGACCACCGCGAGATTACAAAACGACGGAAGCGGCATCTCACGGCCTTTGGGGGATCAATATTCACCTGTCAGTCGCGTTGTAGATTTAATTTTAAAGAATAATTACTAAATGTAATGATTGTTTTGTGGGACTATTTATTATTTATTTAATTTGTTTTCTCATGTGAAGTATTTTCGCAGAGAATTGTTGAAAAAATTGAAAAAAATTTCACCCACGTGGTAATTTTTTCAATACTGACTAGGCGAGGGGCCCCTCAAAGCCGAACTACAGTCCTGCTTGCGACAAACTCGTGAAACTCAATGTTTTCAGTGAGGATTTACCGCAGTGCAGGATAGAACGGTGTCCGGCGTGACAGACGGTAAAAAAAAATGACAAAGTCGCAAATTTTTTGACAACTGCTCTGTCGCTAGAAGGTACATTTTTTAATTGAAATAAGGCGTTTGGAATTGGTTATGCAAATGTAAATTATTAATTACAGATTCGAGAGGTGATCGAGATTGATTTCAACAGCGCATGCCGTTGGAGCACCACGTGGGGCTCGCATCTTCCATAAAAACAAGTGCTGAACTATTATTTTCAGCTGCGATCTTTATTAGTGAAGTAGACCGTGAAATTTGAAAAGGTACGAATTAATTTATCGATTATATGTCAAAATGATCCACGTAAATGTTAACACAAACAAATTCAATTCATGGGTGTTTTCGGCAATTATTGGTATGGTTTTGTACCTTCGAAAATTTAATTTTGTTGAAGCTTCTTATATATGGCTTTCTTATCATTCAAAAGGCTTCAAAAATTTCTTTCCATTTTTTTTCAAATTTTATTACGCCCAGAAGGTTTATTTTTGAATTTTGTGGGTTTTTGACAAAATTTTGCGCCTCCGCAGAGGTCAACTGTTTTTTGGGTTTTCAATATGACGACGGAAATTTTCCGTTCGTTCGATTGAGCATGGTGCCAATTAGCTCACATAGTCAAAAATGCTTCAAATCACAAAAAAACTGGAAAATTGTGCGTGGTACGCCCTTTCCCCACCTCGATTCAAGATTTTTTTGTTTCCTCACTCAAAGTGACTATTTTTACGAAACTTTACACTGGAAGTCGCATCCATTCTATCCAAAAATAATTTTTTTCAAATTTTGTTTTAAAAATTTTTTCCCAAATTCTCATTTTTTTATTTTTTTATTCAAAAATTCATTACTTATGGTCCATAATTATCGATAGATAATGAATTGTGAAATGAGAAATTGCGAAAAACGAAATCTGAAAAAAAAAAATTTGGATAAAATGAATCCGAGTTCCAATCTAATTTTTTGATACGTTTCTCAAAAATAGTCACTTTGGATAAAAAAATTAAAAAATATCCAAACGAGGTGGGGGAAGGGGGTAGTACGCACAATTATCTACTTTTATGGCGATTTTAAAGCACTTTCAATAATATGAGCTAATTGGCGCCATGCTCAATCGAAAGAACGGAAAATTTCCGTCGGAAATACTCACTGAAAACCCAAAAAAAAATGATCTGTGCTGAAACGTGAAATTTTTTTTAAAACACAAAATTCCTCATTTTCTTCAATACCCCTGTGCGACGGTATCCATTGAAATTTGATTTGATTGCTTTTGTTCAGCAAGAGTTCCTTGGCATGTAAAATGTAATTACTCGCTTTTATATTGAATATGGGCGAAGATAAATAACGAAGTGCACTAAGGGAATCAGAGACAATGAGAAAGTTATGATGTGGAGCTGCAACTGCGATTTTCACAGCCTCATAAAGTGCTAGGCTTTCAGCTGTGAAGATCGATGCTTTTCTTTCAATTCCAATTTAAACCTCAATATTCAGTTCTGGACAGTGACACGCAATGCCAACTGATCCTAACGGATTTATAATTTTGTATATATTTTCTCAATAGCAGAGTAAATCTTTAGGTTTGAATGCTTCAATAAAAAAAAACACAAAATTCAGAAATTAACGTTCTGGGCATTCTTACATGGCTTTTTTATCATTCAACAGGCCTAAAAAAAATTTTAAAACTTTTTCTCAAATTTTAGTATTAAAACTTATGTAAGAAAGTATTGTTTCTGGAATAATTTTTTTTCTTGGAACCAGCAATTTCTTTTTCTCTCTATAGATTCAATCATGACTGAAGATGAACCCAAAAGAAAAAAACTCAAGTCCTCAATCCTCTCCGAGTCCCTCACCACGGAAGACTTCCAGTCCCTCTTCAGGACCCACTGGCAGGCGTCCACCCCCCTAAACAGCCCCAGTCTCGAGGTGATCGCCACCCCCTTCCGCGTCTGCAAGATCTCAAACTTCTTGAATAGCGAAAACTTCCTGGAGAAATTGATCACCGAGCTCTCGGACATTGAGACCAGAAGACCGGAGACGGACCTCTACAGTTTCGAGCAAACGTCGGACCTCGCGAACGTGGACACCGAAAAAATAGTACAACTCCACCAGTTGTTCCAGAACGAATTACGAAATTGGATGCAAACAAACACAGGGATCGAGCTAAACACGAAGATTTCGATGTCTTCAACGGCCTACTCTGACACTGACTATCTTCTTTGTCACGACGATCACCTGGGGGACAGGCGAATAGCTTTCATTCTCTACCTCTCGAAGAACTGGACCCCAGAGGATGGAGGATCCCTCGATCTCTTCGACACAGACTCTTCCGGCCTCCCAAGGAAGATTGTTCGCTCTTTAGTCCCCGAGTACAACTCCCTAGTGTTCTTCGAGGTGTCTGACAACACTTACCATCAAGTGGCAGAAGTAACGTCCCCTGACAAACGCAGACTGACGATAAACGGTTGGTTCCACGGCCCCATCAGCCCCAGCACTCGTCCCCCAAGACCAGAAATCGAAGCATCAGAGTTCCACGAGCCTTCAGCAATTGCAGAAGACCTCAGTTTCTGGGTGGTGGAGTCTTACCTCTGCGAGGGCATCAAAAAGGGAATCCAAAGGGAAGTGGAAAAGAAATCCTACACTTATCTCACTCATTTTCTGCGGGAAGAAGTCTACAACAAAATTTCTGCTGAGATAATGAGTGAGGAGATCAAATGGATCAGGATGGGGCCTCCAGACTCGAGGAACTATGAAGTAGCTGATGAGGAGAGTCTTCCCAGTACCTTGAAACAATTCTACGAGATGTTTAAATCGATTGAGATGTTCAAGCTGTTGAAGGAGTACACAGAACTGGATCTCGTGCCCGATGGGAAGGACATGAGACCGAAGATGGTGATCCAGTTGCAGAGGTGGACTAAAGGGTGTTATACTTTACTCTATGATAAAGAAGATGAAGAAAACCTTGTAAGCTGTGAAAAAGCAGAAGATGATGATCTGTCGAACCCGAATTATTGTTCAAAGAGTGAGGAAGAATTTGCAGAAGTGGAAGAGCATGAGAACGGCATGAACAAATTGGAAAATGGGGGCAGAGAAAGGAAGGGCTCCTCCAGCAGCTGTGAAAATCCTGAAGAGGAGAAAGAAAAATTCATGAGGAGGAAGAAGAGAAGAATAAGGAAAAATGAACCCAACAGCTCGACAACTAGTGATGTTGCTGGGGAAGAAGAAAGAGGAACATTTCCTCTTGATTCTCATGACTCTCAGGGATCTGACGTCAGGAAGATCAGATCTCCATCCGATTCCTCAGGGAACGATGAGGGCAGTGGTGACGAGACTGACGAATCTGACGCTGGGCCTGGAACTCTTGATGTTATCATGCAGTTTAATACCAGTCGAGTACCTGAGGACGTGACTATTGATTACGTCGATCCTAAGGAGCCGGATGGAGCTTTTATTCATGTACCTCCTGAGGACAATCATCTTTGTTTGGTTTATAGGACCATGGACACCAGCAGGGTACACAAGTACGTTAACCATTATTGCGAGGGATACTTCTATAATCTCATGTGCAGTTATCTGGAGTAAGAGACTCACTTCCGTGTCTTCAGGAAAGAGGTGAAAAGTTTGGACTGAATGAATTATATTTTTTTGTTTGGAAAACACTTTCTAGAAATTTATCCATTGTTCTTGTTGTTTCTAGAGATTATTACGATGTAAGAATGACGTATATGAATATCTACATAAATATATATAGTTTGTTTTGAGATGGTATAGATTTCTATTAAAGTAGCGCTTCGCGCCCGTCGCTAGATTAATTTATGCTATTTTATTTTCATTTCCGTCTTCACAATGAGATTAATTTAATTTTATCCATTCTTATTCTTATTATACATATTTTTCCCCTTAATTCACAAGTTACCCCATTGAGTGAAGAGGAATTATATTAAAGATCAATCAGAAGTGTTTTTTTTGTGATCAAAACAAATACACAAAACAAAAGTCATTCGAAATCTCATTCGGTACTAGAATAATCCCTCCATCTATTCGTGGAAATTTTTAAAAAGGGATGATCGACTAGAAAATGGAGAAAATTTGTTTTTCTTCATTTGTGACGGTGGAAACTTGGAATCACTATTTTTTTGGAATATGAGCGGGATATGAGTATTTTAGAATTGTATGATCTAATTTTTATGAGAAGAAATGAAAGTAATGTAAAAAAACGTAGGCGGCAAGAAATAAAAGTCTCCGGAAAGGTGTAATATTGATATATCTTTTCGAATAATGAAAGAATACCCATAAATTCGAATTCTATCCTTGACTTTTGATAGAATGAATAGAATAAATGACATAAATTGAGAATTGGAGACTAAAAATTTTATCGGATTATTATTATGTAATTTCATGGAATAACTGAATTGGAATTTAGTTTTCATTAATTTTTCCCATCAAATTGGGAGACTTTAATGACGAAACTTCAGTGGAACTTTCACTTGGTAAAAATTTCCCAGAAGTATACTGGAAATTTCAGCCCAGAAATTCGAAGTATGTTTCACTCTGCGCATGTAATATATTTTTTAGAAATTATATTGGTGAATTCATCCGTGTTTCTAATCAATAGCTATTTTCAACCAAAAACTCCGATACCCATTTTGCTCCTCCCCTAGACTAAATGTGGCATGTCATTCTCGCCAGTGATTCTCTATTGTTAAACTAAACGGGTATATTTACAAAACATGACCATGTTCTTAATTCTCAGACAAAGCCGATGGAACATTGAGAAATGTGAACTCATGCAAATTCATGGATAAAAATTAAATTTCTGAAGCATCGTTACGATGGAATAGGCAATTGGAAATATAGAGGGAAATTAGACGCATGAAAATTTCATAGAAAGAGCTAGCGCATTCCCTAGAAAATTCAATTGGATTTCTATTGGACATTCTATTTGTCAATCGCTGATCCTATTGACAAATTCCGCGGCCTCTTTGTATTTTTTTTTTCAATGGGAACTATTTCATAGAAAACAATCAACAGAATTTGATCTTTTTATATTGAGATATTTCCTGCAGAAATTCCTCGACCGAAAATTCATACCCAAGTATTCTTACAGAAAAAATTCCCAAAGAATATTAATGTAGAAAAATCGAAATCTATGGACTTTTTCTTACACTGAGAAAAAAAATTTCTAATCAATAGAAATTCTATGATTGATCCAAATCGTTCATCGATTGAATAGTCGCAAAAAAAATGCTATTGTAAGACACAAATATCAATTTAATTTTAATGTTTTCGATTGAAAAAGAATGAGATCAGTTATTTAAACTTTTTTTTTGTTACTATCTACTTTTCAGTACATGCAAATCAATGTCGGTATTATCTTCTTCGAATAAAGCATGTAATTATCCAATTTATCAGCATCACGATATCCCGCAAAAGAATATCTGTTCGATTGAAAGCAGAATTCATAGATGCAATAAAATATTCATTTGGCCTATGAGGAACATATTGTTGGATACTCATTGATGCGAGACTTTCGCGAAGCGCAGTTTCTTGTTTACGACAAACGCAATTCTTCATCATTTGAACTGATTATTTTTCCATTGCAATTGTGAAAAAAAAATTATTTGCGCCAAATCCGAAGCGTTTGAACTAAACCAAAATTGAATTGTATGAAATCGATTTTGTCGCAAAAACAAGTATTTTCTAAATTCGATAGAATAAACAAAATATACTATACTATAACAAAATCGATTTCATACAATCCAATTTTGGTTTAGTTCAAATCGATATTTGTGTCTTACAATAGCATTTTCTTTTGCGACTATTCTACCGATGAACGATTTGGATCAATCATAGAATTTCTATTTCTTAGAAATTTTTTTTCTCAGTGTATCAAATATCTCACAGGATCAGCGCAAAAACAAATAGAAGTTTAGCCAGAATTCCCTAGAATTTTAATAGAATCCCAATAGAATTTCTAGAGAATTCCAATAGAATTGTCTAGCGAATTCGTTAAGTTTTTCTATTGAATTCTTTCATACGTACTGACAGTAGTAGACAATATGTAGCAGAAGCCTGGAAAAAAATTGACACTTACGTTGGCAGGTCACTGGATCCATTCTCCACCTTGACGACATTAGTCTCAGTATTTTCATTAATGTCCAACCGTCCATTGCTCAGAACTTCAGTAACAAGCCCCTGAAAGATCGATTCGGGCAACGAACTTTAACGTCACAATTGTTGATACTATCTTACAAATACTATAGTCCTGGGTACTTATAATTTTTTTCTTTTCATTTTAATTTTCAACGATCGATTGTCTCTGATAATGTATATCCTCGTCACGGTTGATTGCAGTGCAGATCACAGGGTTAATGTTACAATAAATTGAACATTTTACCTGAGATTGGGAGGAGGAGGGTGAGGCACTGGCGATCCTTTTTCTGAGTTCATTCAATTGTAACTCATGTTGAAAGCTCACATCGGTTTCCTGGGATACCCCACGATGCCAATCGTCTACGGACTCGGTTGAGTACTCCACACGAATCCACGGGCATACGGTAGACGATGAGGGCAGGGAATTCTTGCTGTTTGGCCTCGGAAGACGGGGGGAAAGTCTTCGGAGCAGTGAAACTATTTTTGATCTGCAGGAAAATTCGTTCTAGATAATGACAGTCACTAATTATGAGAGCGGAGAAGTTAAAAAATATTTCTTAATAAATGAGTTAAGGCCCGGGTGTACTATCTTTCGAACATTAACTCGATGTTTTTTTCATCTTTCGTCATCTGAAATTGTCAATTAAGTCCTGCATCATCCAGAAGTTTTGAAAAATTATGAATGAATAATTTTAAAAAAGTAGAAAAAATTCTTAATTTTTTTAAAGAGCATTTTAATTTATATTCAGAATAAGTTGAATAACAAGAAATTGAAAAATGTATCTGATTTACGGTGACAAATGGCGGCCTGTCACCCAATATCATGCAGGGGGAAGACTGATTTCGTAAATCTTTTCCCATACTGCACAGAGACATTTATTACGGAAAAGGCCCCTTGAAAAAAGTTGTAATATTTTGGAGAAGTTTTTAACCACACTTTTATCACATAAAAATGACAGATGACTACATACCACTGTTTTGAAAATTGAGATACCTCGCTGTCACTTCCCATGAGAAGTTAGTGTTTTAGTATCCACCATGGAAAATGTTAGCTGATAGATAATTTGCCACAGCGAATCAGATATTTGTAATTTCCACTTTTTTCAACTCATTCTGAATCTCAATTAAAAACGTTCTTTGAAAAAGTTCAGATTTTTTTCTATTTTTTTAAATCATTCTATCATAATCTTTGGGAACTTCTACATGATGTACCACTCAATTGACAATTTTGGATTACGAAAGATAAAAAAAATCCAGATAACATTCGAAAGATAGTACACCCGGGCCTTGATGATATAACAATCTATGTGTGAAATCATGTATGTAACTTTTGTTTTTTAATATAAAGTTCTGAAATTTTTTGTTATTTGTGAATTATAAGTGGGGAAATATGGACCGATTTTCATCATCATTAGCTCAAGATTGGCGGAGTGGAATCAAACGAATTCATTATTATTTGCCAATTATTATTGCCAGTTTTGACTTTCATAATTTGACACGCCCCGTTTTGCCCCACCTCTGTTATTTATCAACTTTATTAATCCTGACTTCAATGTCTTCATTTTTTCTGAAATCACTGATTTCGAATTGATCAAATTATTTGAAATCATGAAATCATCTCTCTTGCCGCTCAAAATCACCGAAATCATTTTTTCTGAAATCACCCGAAATTGACTTAATTTCGAAATCCTGGTGTCACAACACAATTACGGAGTGAGTAGTCCCTCGGTTCAAAACGTTGACAAGGTAGAAAGAATTTGGTTTCTCTCTATTCTCTTCTTTTTTCGTTTGATTAAAATTGTTGTTGATGACCGTTAATGGCTGATGAGTAGGAGTTTTTAATCACTAATGTTTTAATTGATTCCTTAGTTAAGAAAACCGTCACATTGGACGTAAATTTACTTAGCAGTGGGGGGGGTTCTCAATCCAATGACGTTGAAGTTTAAATTTCTGGAATGTAGTTGTTCAGCACTACAGCTGATGTCTTGCCACTCTGAGTTTATTCTGCGGCCTATTCGCCAGTCTAAACTACTGCTTTGACGAGCGTTGAGAGCTGAAACGTGATTTGAATATTCAGTTTTATCACAAATGGTTTCGAAAAATACCCTAAATTCTTAAATATAAGGGAATTACCTGCATCTGTTGGACTCTGGCCCAAACGCCAATCCAAAGACGTACTATTTCTATTGACGTTATAAATGTTATCACAGGATTTAGTTGCGAGGTACGTCCCCTGATGACGACGCCTCAGCAGTCTTGAAACTGGTCCCAAATTTCTAAAAACCGAGATATCAATGATTCCTCTACCACTCAAAAGAAAATCTTTCGTGAAATTGTTCTCAATTTTCTGGAGTTTTCATAATTTATGGGTCCATTAAATGTGTCTTTTAATTATTCTATGAATACATCTCGAAACGAAAAAAAGTTGGTGACAATTTTAAAACTTGTAAAGCTAAGACGGTTTTAAAAACTAGTGAAAAAATATGTTGAGAGAAATTAATTATATTTACTATCGTCACGATAACCCGCAATTTTTTTTTATACTGTTGGAAATTTTTTGAAATTTCATGGAAGATATATAAAAAGGCACACGTTTATTCCTACATGTCTGAAAGAGAACTCGCATGCATGATGATGATGATGCTGATTTTGTTAATAATATTGATGTTATTAATGGTGCTGATGATGTTAGTGATGTTGATGATACTGATAATGTTGGTGTTGGTAATTTCCAACAGAGGATATCAGTAGCGAAGTGGTAAAACGGTATAAGTCAATTTTGACTATTGACCAGTTTTCAATGAATATCTCGGAATTCAAGGGAGATAGCAAAATTTTTGTTATAACCTTTTCTGTAGAGCCGACTGAGAGCTACAACAAATGTGATTACGAAAATTTCGCTATCTCCCTTAGATTCCAAAATATTCCTTAAAAACTCAATGTGGAGATGAGTCGACTAAACCGCTTTACCACTTCGTTACTGATATATTGATTATTAATTGAAGTTTTCATGGATTGCGCCGAATTTTTCAAGAACTTTTAATAGAAGTTTGCATAGATTTCTATCGAAAATCCATCGCTTTCTAACGCAAGTTTTCATAAGTTGTGTCGTATCTCCTATCGATTCTCGATAGAAATTTCCATCCCTTTGCAATGAAAACAAAATTATGGATTTTCAATAGAAGTTTGCATCGCTTTCCACGAATTTCAACTTATAGTAATACTACGGAAATTCGTATACGTGAAAGACCATGATAATTTCAATGAACTTACAATAATAACGTGATGAATCATGCAAAATCTATCAAATTGCCAGGCGCGCGGAGCGCGCCTTTGATCTTGTTATTAAATCTCGCGAGAGTGACATTGAATCGGATTTTAGGAAAAACGGTTATGAAATTTTAAATCAATTTCAAGTTGTAAGCAGAATTCACGAAAATTGATGAGTTTTCAGTGGGAGTGTAATGGAAATTTCGCAATTTAATTGAATTTTCTGTGCAAGCTGAATATTCAGAAACGAAATGACATGCATTTTCAATTTTTCCCTGAATTTTCCGGATTTTTCTGAATTGTCACCGAAAATAATTGAACTAAAAAATCAAGTATTTTATTGATTTCCAGATCATTTGAACAGAAAATCAATGGAATATTTGATTTTTCAATGACAAAATTTCCTGAAATATCAGTAGAACTTGAACACGATAAAAATTTGGTACCGAAAATTCACACGAAAATTTTGAACAGTGTAGAAAAGATCATGTGATGTATTTTTTCAGACATCTTTATTTTGAAAATAGGTATTTCTCGAAAATTTTAAGTTCATTTTAGAACTTCCGTTTTTTGCACCGTCGCTCGCTAATTGAACTCACTTAGCACAAGGGGTGGCGGCGCATGTACCGTTCAACGGAGGAATAATGACGTTTCTTACATCCACATCACCACCTCTGACTAGAAAAGGCAATTGGCAATCTTCTTCTGCTATTTATTTTGCTATTCTCGAAATATTAAAGTGGAAATCGAGTGAGGGGTATTACCTGAATGCGGATAATACCGCAGTGTTTTGCAGGGGGGAGTGGGGGAAAAAGGACACTTAAGACTTTTTTTAGTCTTGATACCTTAACTTATTAAATTACTTGATTATTATTAACATATTGAATTACTAACGAAATGAGATTTTTTTCTCCGGAAAGTACAATTTTCTTCTTTTTTGGAGAGCCTAGACTGAACTGAATTGATCAATTTTATCTCGTCCTCAACTTATCTATAAGTTATGGACATTGAGAGAAAAGTAGTAAGTGTCCATTTCACCTCGTCCTCCCCTATATTTTCCTTGCAGTTGCCAGTTGTTTCACAGAAAAATTCTTTGATGTAAAATAACTAGATTGAATGAATGAAATCGGATTTCGACATAAAAAATAAAATCCTTCTCCCCCTACTCAGTTAAAAAAATTCAGCCGGATTTTCAGAAAAAAAAACCTTCAATTCGATTTAGGAAGAAAAAATCTATGAAACTTTAATTTTTTTAGGAAATTGGAGTAAAGTTCCAATTTTTTAGCCTAAAGATGAAAATTTCACAATTTACATGAATTTGCAAGTAATAATAAATATTCACTGCTAAATTCCATTGAATTTTCAAAAAATTCCTTCAAAATTTTTAAAATTCCCGGACTTTTTAAGGAATTCCCCGAAAATTCAGAGAGCACTGGAATGTAGGGAGAGGTTTCTCTCAGTTTTCCTGTTCTTCTATTAATTTTCCCGGAATAATTAAACTGAAAGTTACAGTTTCCACGGACTTTTCCACAAAATTATAATTGGCAGTGACAAAATTCCTTGAAATTTTAGTGAGAATGTTATTTGTTGGAAATTTCCAAGACCCTTACCGAAAATTTCAGGGGAAAATTTTTGCAGTGTAGTAAAAAATATTACACACTCGTTTAAGAATTTTACCCTGTAAGGGCCTAAAAACTTCAAAGAATGAATGTTTCAATGAAAGTAGATGCAAAGGTATCAAATTTTTGTGGTGAATACATTCCAACATTAGATCTTCAATATTGAAAGAGAAAAAGTCTAAAAAATGTTTGTGGTTGTGGGGAGAAATGCACAGACGAAAAAATTTAATAGAAAAACCTATCGAATTCGTTAGAAAATTCTATTAAATTTCTGTTGAACTGTTCTATTAGTTTTTGGCCGATTCTATTGAAATGTTCAATAGAAAATATTCAGTAGAAAAAGTCAATAGAATTCAATTTTTCTGTATAACTTAATCTATGAAGATATTTTCTATAAAATTTCCTCGGCTCAAATTTTTTTCGTTTGATTTTCTTGATGAGAAGAAAATAAGAATAGAATGAAAAAAACTTGGAAAATTCGAGTCGAGCAAATTCTATAGAAAATATATGAAAAGAATAAGTTATATATAGAAAAATCGAATTCTGTTGACTTTTTCTATTCAATGTTTTCTATTGAACATGGCAATAGAATCAGCCAAAAACTAATAGAAAGTTTAATAGAAATTCAATAGAATTTTCTAGCGAATTAGATAGGTTTTTCTATTCAATTTTTTCGTGCGTGTGGATGAGCGGTATTACCAGCTGAGCGGCCAAAACACCGCCCCCCCCCCTAAATATTAAAAAATCTGATTCCACTTCCTTTTTATATTTCCGTCCTTGACTGGGTGGTTTATTCTCACACGGTATGAGATCCATCTCAGGCTCTGGGCAGTATGTACCAATTCTCACATGACTGTATGTCGCCCGCAGTTGAATACCATCAAGCGGTCGAAAATTCCTCCTCTCCACTGACGACACCCTGACGACTTCGATTTTCGGACGGTTCGCCATATCTCCGCAATGTTATAATTACTTCTTTCCTTAAAAGTGGTGTTTTTGTATCACAATGTGTTTGATCCTCTTCTCTCCTTTTTTCCTTCCATCACGAACAATGGTAGGCCCCTTGAACCAGAGAACAAAATTATACCTGAGGAAAGGAGACATGATAAAAAAACTGTCAACTATATCAAAAATTCTTGAAAATACAACAAGTCAGTAATGAGTTTTTTCTTCTTCTCTTTCTCTCTCTCTCTCTCTCTCTCTCACACATACAAAACACACATCTTTATGATTTATTTCACTGCAAAAACAATGTGTTTGACGCCCATTTGAATTAGTTATGCCGCGAGACGCGAGAGAAACGAGACGAGACGAGACGAGACAAGGAGAGTCATTCGAGACAATGATAGAAACGAGACGAGACGAGAAAAGCCGGTTGAGAACGAGAGAAACGAGAGTCGAGAGAGCCTCCCCCTCTCGCCCCTCTGTTTTTTTCCGTGCAAATTGGATTATAAAGACGAGATCAGCCGAGACGAGACGAGACGAGAGAATCTCCCAATTCTCGACGAGACGAGACAAGAAATTGCTCTCGTATTTCCATATGAGACGAGAGAATGCTTTCCTGACAACAAGACGAGACGAGAAGATGTAGTTTCTCGTCTCGTCTCGTTTCGTGGCATCACTGATTTGAATTTCCGATATTAGACAGAAAACAAAAGTCGGAATGGTCATGAATTCGGCAAAATGTCTGACGAATTGTTCATTCTTAATCCTTAAGTGGTCGCATCGTGAGGGAATCCCCGCTAAACCAAAACTTATAAGTGAGATATAGTGATTTTGCCGGAATTATATCCTGAATATATTCGCCTTATATATCAGGTATATGCTAGATATATCCGATGGCATATAAGTACACAGATATATCCAACATATATCTCAGATATTGCATTTTTTGCCGGAAAATGTATCACATATAAGCGGATATAAGTGACATATATTTATGTATATATATTTTTTCCATGTGGGAACATAGTGGGAAAACTGAAATTGGAGAAAGGTGTGGGTAACTGCACCTGAAATTTATCCAGGAAATTCTAAGACGATTGGGAAAATAGGGCACAAGATAAGATAGATCACAGTTGTGATCGTTGGAAAGAATGAAATTGTTAAATGGACTTCCAGACTGATAGTTTGGTCTCGCGTCGTCGACATGCCAGTGGGTTTTCAGATCAATCAGAGGAGTGATATATAGAACAGAAAAAAATATAAAAAGAGGGTCTAATATAGGCGATAAAAAAAGATAATTAAACACATGCCCATCTGATGGCCCGTGTGTTATCGTAACGCTCAGGCGAGCATCGGGAGCTCGATAGACGCTACAGCGCCCGTACACTCAAACGACTCAGGTACACAGTACTAAAGAGATGAATATTAACTGTGAATCATCAACCAAGTCCAACAGAGTTGAAACATATTAGAGCTGCGGGACACCCTCGATTTTCAGACATGTACCGACCACCCACGTTCTAATGCGTAATTATTGTTTTAAACAATAAAATACGATCACTGAACGTCAAGTAAACAATTTTTAATTAATTTTAGGCATTGGAATTATTTATTATCAACAATTAAATTGTTCAAATCGCTCTAGCACACAAACTATGAAGTATAGACGAAAATTTTCAAATTATGAATCATCTAGAACTTAATAAGGAATAATTTTTGTCTATTATCAATTTTACGTATCTCTCACAGATTCCGAGATATGAGCAATAAACTAGTTACGCGACCCGACATAGCGCTCTCTGCTTGCGGCGTGCGGTAGGTTTGAGAGCGCTGTGTTGGGTCACGCAACTCTTTCCTTGTTCATATTTCGAAATCTAAGGGAGATATGTGAAATTGACAAAAGACAAAAATTATTCCTCATCAAATTCTAAGTGATTCGTGACCCGAAAATTTTCGTATATCTTTCATAGTTTGGGCCCTAGGGCGATTTGAACAATTAAATTGTTGGTAATAAATAGTTGCAATGCCTAAAATTGATTCGAAAATGTTTACTTGACGTTCTGTGATCATAGTTCATTGTTCGAAAAAAAGAATTACGCATTAGAATGCGAGTGGTCGGTCGGTCAATTTAGAACCGCTTTTTGGGGGTGTCCCGCTGCTCTATACATATAGTATGATAAATTTTCAGACTGAATGCGGCCGGATTTGTGTTTCCTGGAGAGCTGACATATCCAAGCATTGGAGGGTCGGAGGAATTTCCGATCCGTAACTCTACATCCCGTTTGTCTCAGATTGTTTTTCCTGACGAGGTGATATCACTTCGAAAAAACTTGTACGCCGGATCTCAAGATTTCAATATTTCAAGGATCCTGAAATGTTCTCTGGAATTTGTAATGATACTGACATTTATACCTGCCCGACGTCAATAATTTCCCAAAGGTGGCACTTTTTTTTTCCACCAGACGACATTTCAACTACGACATTTGAACTGATATTTTCAACTCCAACATATCAACTAGTTTTTGTGAAATTACTATATTTTTAGGAATTAGCCAAAATTTTTTCAATCTTCATTTTTTTCTTTGCTTTTCAACAGACAACGTAATGCAACTCAATTTAACCACTGAACCAATACATTAATGATTAATATCATACAAAGATTCAATTTGTTTTTCTATTAAGGGGAGACTCTTGTGAGTTTTGAAAGTCGTGGGTTATTGGAGTGAGACTTTTCATACGCTGAAGATCGATTATATAGATCTGAAAATGAGTAATGAGTACAAACAAAATTTTTTTCATTGTTCGTTTGCCCAAAAACGCTTTAAATGCTAAAAACAGTGCATTTTTTTTTTGCAAAATTTTCAGAAAAATGTGTGGAACAATAATTACGAGCTAGTTTTTTGGAATCCGACTCCTACACAGCTGATTTCTTTTTTTTTCATATTAAAAAATTCACTATTTGTGTAAAAAAATACAAAAAAAGCAAATTTAGCCATGTAAGAGGTGAATTAAAAAAACTAGCTCGTAATTGTTATTCCACATATTTTTCCAAAAATGTTGATAAAAAAAAATCATTCGTAGGTCAAAAATTGGAGGCCCTGGACTGTTTTTAGCATTTTAAGCGTTTTCGGGCAAACGAACAAGAAAAAAAATTTTTTTTTGCACTAATTCGTTTTCAGATCTATATAATTGATCGTCAACGTATGAAAAATCTCACTCCAATAACCCACGACTTTTAAAACTCATAGTAGTCTCCCCTTAAATAAAAGAAAATAAAACTAATTCAGTATTCAAATTTAAACAATGAAAAACAATGATTGTTATGACTCGACTAGAGCTTCACAATATATAATTTTAAATTACATTCTCTTATTTTTTTACAACATTCAGTAAAATTAAAAAAAAAATTTTTTTGAGCATACAAAATAAAACTTTCTGTTTTATATTACAAATACTAATAGCAAATTTAAGTGCATTCTTCAAACACAAAATAATGCTATATCAATTTTAAACCCCACATATTGAGTATGCTTGAGAGCTACTAATGGGCCATAAGTTTATATAAATCCATTACAATTCGCAAAAGTTGTTTGATACTAGTTTTTAAGATGTATACGGGAGAGTGGGGCAAAATGAAACATCAGGCAGAATGAAACAATCGAAAAATGACTGTTTGACGCAATTCAAGCAAAAAAAATTGTTTTTGATGAATATTTTTTTTTAATAACTTTTTTTTATTCTTGAGAGTACTGATGAGAATAGTAATTTTGAATTCAGTGGACTGGAAAATTATTGAGAAGTTTTGACGGGACAAGATTTTGTTAATGAATTAATTGAAAACAAAATAAAATAGCAAAATCCAAAGTCCAAAATGCTCCTGGGGAGACCCAAAGGGAGAAAGAGGAAAATTGATGCTGAATTTTAATCTAATGAAATAAGAAAAGTGTAATCGGCCTAATCTAATCAACTGAATTATAAGACGAATAAAAAATTATTATTTTCATCAGTACTCTCAATAATAGAATAAATTGATAGAAAAAAATTAAACAAAAAAATTTTTTTTCCTGTGAATTGCGTCAGTCATTTTTCGACTGTTTCGTTTTACCCCACTCTCCCTTATATATGTATATAATGAGTGTTTTTTTATTGAACAAAAACTTTGGTAAAGAAAAAAAAATTAGCTGTTAATAGTGAAGAGTTGACAGTCAATAGGAATTCGGAATAGAGAATTTCCCGACCTATCCACTGCAATCGACGTCATCAACCTTCACCTCGGCGTTCTTGAGAAGAGTTCATTCACGTGTGCGACGAAGAATTTCAAAACAATTCCTTATCATCCTACGCAGTAAAAATGGGCGTTGTACATAAAGTAATGTTGTAACATTTCAAAGAGACATAACACGCAATTGAGATAACGTGTTCATTATTAAATACCGGAGTGAGACACTTCTGTTTGCCTTGATAACGTCCTTGAGGCAGTCATACGATACATTACACGGAGACTCATATCCCGGTTGATGTTCTACTTATCATATGCTTTATGAGCATGGACAAGCTTATCCCCTCCGTTCTAGGGGAGAACGGAGTATAATGAGACTACCTTTTATATTTCTCATCCTTATTTTACTCCGCTGTTCCCTAACATATTTTTCTTTTAGTATCAGATCGATATATCTTTATCGTTGAGAATGTTTTCTCCTTGTCTGCACTTGATGCGGAAAATAATGGGCGAGTTAACAGGAGGATCGTTATTTTCTATTTCTGGTTCATGGACTGAGGTGGGTATTATGAACCTGTAGTATAATAATTGTGCAATTAGAACGGAAAATTGGGCATTCACGCGCTGAAAGAATTTGTTTACATAAGAACTGAATAATCAGTACTGAATTACCTAGAAATTGATTCGCGCCAAAAATCCAGATTGACAATTAGTTGGATAATTGGTAATCGTTCATTCAGTTATTAACTCCTCAAGTGGGCTGGAGTAATGGGTAAGTTCGTTGGCTCACATGCGAAAGGTTCCGAGTTCACGACCCGGTCGGGTCGGTGCGATCTAACTAGTTAGTCTTGATCAAATTTCGCAGTATATACTCATACCGAGTTAGAGCGATTTCGAA